AACCAAATTCAGCAGCACATTAAGATGATAATGCACGCCGACCAAGTGGGATTCGTTCATGGAATGCAAGGGTGGTTCAACACAGGAAAAAAATCAAGGGAACATGCCACATTAACAGAATAAAGGGGAAAAAAAACCACATGATCATCTCGATTGATGCAGAAAGAACATTTGACAAAATCCAACACTCTTTCATGGTAAAAACACTCAAACTAAGAATAGAAGAAAACTACCTCAACATAATAAAAACCACATATGAAAAACCTACAGATCTCGTTATACTCAATGGTGACAGACGAGAAGCATTCCAAGGTCAGGAAGAAACAAGACAAGGACACCCACTTTCATCATTCTGTTCAACACAGTACTGGGAATTCCACCCAGAGCAACTGTGCAAAAAAACCAAAAGGTATCCAAGTTGGAAAGGAAAAATTAAAATTTTGTGTTTGTAGATGATACAATCTCGTATATAGAAAACCTTAAAGATATCACAAGTACTGTTAGAATAAATGAATTCAGCAAAGTAGCAAGATAAAAAATCAATATGCAAAAAGCAGTTCAATTTCTAGACACTGACAGAGCAATCGGAAAAAGAAATTAAGAAAATAATTCCATTTACAAAAGTCTAAACAATTAGGAGTTAATGAAAACAGTGAAAGATCTGTACAACGAAAACTACAAAACATTGCTGAAAGAAATCCGTGAATTAGAATTAGTTTGTGTATTAGAAGACTTATTATTGTTTAATAAGATGTCAACAATCCTCAAAGTGATCTACAAATTTAATGCAATCCCAATCAAAATGCCAGTGACTTTTTTTTTTTGCAGAAATAGAAAAAAAAAAAAATTCTGAAATTCACTTGGAATCTTAAAGGATCCCAAAGAGCCAAAACAATTGTGAAGTAGAAGAATAAAGTCGGAGGCCTCGCGTGTCCTGATTGCGAAACTTACTGCACAGCTGTGGTAGTCACGACAGCGTGATTGGCATAAAGACAGACACGTGGTGCAATGGAATAGAAAGCCCAGCAGTGAATGCTTGCAAACAAATGATCTTCAACAACAGCGCCAAGGCCATTCAACGGGGAAAGGACAGTCTTTTCAACAAATGCTGCTGGGAAAACTGGGTCTCCACGTGCAAAAAGATGAAGTTGGATCCCTACCTCACATCATATACAAAAACTACCTCCAAATGAACCAGAAACCTAAACGTAAAAGCTAAAACTATAAAACTCTTGGAAGAAAACATAGGGCAAAAAATCTTCCCAACGTTGGATTTGGCAATGTTTTCTTGGGTATGACACCAAAATCATAGGCAACAAAAGAAAAAATAGGCGAAATGGACTTCATGAAAATTTAAACCTTTTTTGCATCAAAGAACACAATCAGGCCAGGCACAGTGGCTCACACCTATAATAATGGTACTTTGGGAGGCTGAGGCAGGAGGATTGCTTGAGCACAGAAATTCAAGACCAGCCAGGGCAACATAGCAAGATTATCTCTACAAAAAATTTGTTTTTAAAAAACTAGCCAAGTGTGGTGGCATGCACCTGTAGTCCCAGCTACTCA